GCAGCAGCAGCAGCAATAGCCGTGCGCTGCGCCTGTGTGGCCAAAGTCAAGGCCAACCGTGAAGCGGCCGCAGCAGCAGCAGCAGCAGCAGCAACCCGCAGAGACGCAGCTGCTGCCGGGGCAGTGGCAGCGCTTTGCCCTCCCGAGAGGGAAGAGAGACGCAATGAAGGCGGAGGAAAAGAAGAGGCCTCCGCAGCAGCAGCAGCAACCGCAGCAGCAGCAGCAGCAGCAGCAGAAGCCGCGGTCGCCTGAGTGGGCGCGCCCCACACCGCTCCCTATGGCCAGCAGCACTATCCCTGTGGCTGTCTTTACTCCAGAGGACAAACCAACAGCAGCAGCAGCAACAGCAGCGGCAGCTGCTGCTGCTGTCCTCCCGGGGATGCTGAGAGATAGCTTGGCTATGCCGAAGACATCCCAAAAGCCGCCGTTGCAGCAGCAGCCACAGCAGCAGCAGCAGCAGCAGCAAAGGCCCGCCGCGCCGCGCACTTCATCTCCGAGACCCGCTGAAGGCCGCGGGTCGGCAGCAGCACCTGCTGCAGCAGCGCCTGCAGCAGCACCTGCTGCGGCAGCGCCTGCTGCAGCAGCACCTGCTGCAGCAATGCCCACTGCAGCAGCACCTGCTGCAGCAATGCCCTCTGCAGCAGTAGCAGCAGCACCTGCACCTGCTGCAGCAGCCCCTGCTCCAGCAACACCTGCTGTAGCGATACTTGCAGCGCCACCTGTTGCAGCAGCACCTGTTGCAGCTGCACCAGCTGCAGCAGCACGTGCTGCAGCGGCACCTGCTGCAGCACCACCTGCTGCAGCGGCGCCTGCTGAGGCAGCGCCCGCTGCACCAACACGTGCTGTAGCAGCACCTGCCGCAGCAGCACCTGCTGCAGCAGCACCTGCTGCAGCAGCACGTGCTGCAGCAGCAACTCTTGCCACCCCAGAGCCTGTGGAAGCCTCCCCAAGAAGGAGGCGGTCTCGCTCTCCTGCTGGCAGCAGCAGAGGCCGGCTGTCGCCTGCTGCTTCTCCAAAGCCTGCTGCAGCAAGGGCAGGCAGCAGCAAGCCAGCATCTCCAGCAGCAGCAGCAGCAGCAGCACCTGCTGCTTCAGCCGGCAGCAGCAGCGCAAAGAAGACAAGCCCGAAGGACGCGTGGGGCGACGACGACGTTGAGGAGAAAGAGGAGAAGCCTGTGCAGTCCCCCCCTGCTGCTGCAGCAGCAGCTCCAGCAGCAGCAGCAGCAGCAGTTTATTCCATTGGATTCCTAGCCAAAATCAAAGGACACCCTAGCTGCCAGCCCCCCAAAGTGAATGCTGTCTTCCGCCTGGCGGACGGCGCCTTCTTCTTGCCGCAGGCAGCACTGCATCCGCAGCCACCGCAGCAGCAGCAGCAGCACCCGCAGCAGCAGCAGCAGCAGCAGCAGTTCAGGTCGAGGCAGCAGCAAGGCGCTATGGACCACCAGGAGTGGCAGAGAAGGCCTAGAGACGCGGGAGCGCATGAAGACACAATGAGGAGCTTCGGAGCAGCACGGTGTGTTGCTGCTGCTGCTGTGTTGCTGCTGCTGTTGCTGCTGTTGCTGCTGTTGCTGCCGCTGTTGCTGCTGCTGTTGCTGCTGCTGCTGCGGATATGCTAAGCAGCAGCGTGTCTGTTCAATCTTTTGCAGAAAAAGCTATAAACTGTGAAAATATCCGGAGAGGCTATCTGCGTGCCTTTTCACCGGTAGAGTGACGTGCTGCTGTTGCTGCTGCTGCTGCTGCTGCTGCAGGTCGGCGGGGCCCCCGGGGGCCCCCCGTGGCGCTGCTTCTTTGGGGGGTTTCTTCTCTCAAGAGAAGCCTCCAGACTTCAGCAGCGTGAGGCGGGAAAGGCCCAAAGCAGCAGCAGCAGCAGCAGGAGCAGCAGGAGCAGCAGCAACACTTCCTGCGCCTTCTAAGGACTCTTGGGTGGTCATTCAGGAGAAGCAAAAGGAGTCCGTGGGGCCCTCAAGATTAATTAAATAAAATTAATTTAAAGAATTAAAAATAAAAAATAAAAAATAATAAATAAATTAGTAATAAATATTTAAATAGTTTAACGGCAAGTTATATTAATTGAGCTGCCTGGCTTGTAGATTGTTTCGCCAGAATTGGCTCGCGTGGGGTTTTGCTGCTGCTGCTGCTGCAGTGGCCGCTGCTGCTGCATTTGCTGCTGCTGGATTTGCCGCTGCTGCTCTTTTGCTGCTGCTGTTGCTGCTGCACTGCCGGTTGCTGGTGGTTTGTGGGCTGTTGCTGCTCCGTCTGCTGCTGCTGTGGCGCATGCCGCCCCTCTTCCGCTGCGGCGTGCGCTGCATCTGCTGCTGCTGCTGCTGCTGCTGCTGCAGGGACGCGCAAATGGTGCTGTTGCGGCACCTGAAGGGCCTGCTGAACAAACTCACAATTGAACGTTTTGACAGAATTTATCAGCAAATTTTAAATGCTGGAATTAAACAAGAAAAAGAAGTCAAGGCCCTCATGCAAATGATTTTCGACAAGGCCGTTTCCCAGCACCACTTCATACAAGTCCGCTGCTGCTGCTGCTGCTGCTGCTGCTGCTGTGTTGCTGCTCTGGAGGTGTGGTGTCGGGGCTCTGCTGCGGCTGCTTGCTTGCTATTGCTGGCCTGCTGCTCTGCTGCAGCTGCTGCTGCGTTGCGTCTGTTGTTGTGTTGCTGCTGCGCTGCTGCAACTGCTGCTGCTGCTGCTGCTGCTGCTGCAGATGTACGTGATGCTCTGCGGAAAGCTGAAGACGGACTTCCAAGAGCTCCTTCAAGACGACCACAGGAGCACCAAGTTCCGAAGGTAACTCATTTGCTGCTGCTGTTGCTGCTGTTGCTGCTGCTGCTGCTGTTGCTGCTGCAGCAGCAGCAGCATGCTGCAGCAGGGATTGATCTGCTGCTGGCGATGCAGCGGAACATGCGGGTTCCATCGCTTCGTCCCTTCCTCTTTTCTGTCTCCAAAACTAAGCCAGTAAATAATAATTAAATAAATTAATTAAATAAAATAAAAATAAATAATTAGTTTTGCTGCTGGTTTGCTGCTGCAGGATTCTTATTGACCAGTGCGAAGACTCCTTCAACGCCAACTTGGAGCCAATTGCAGTCCCGCAGGGCCTCAGCGAAGACGACGCCTACGAGTTTGAATTGAACTACAAAAAGACAATGACAGGTAGGGTTTAGGGTTTGGGGTTTAGGGTTTAGGGTTTGGGGTTTAGGGTTTAGGGTTTGGGGGTGCGGGGGTGCGGCGGCTTCGCGCGCGAGAAGCGGGCGCGGCGGAGGCCGCAGGCGGCCCCCGCAGGCTCTAGGGCTTAGGGTTTAGGGTTTAGGGTTTAGGGTTTGCGCGCAGGGAACATGATATTTGTGGGGGAGCTGCTGAAGTCGAAGATGATATCGCAGGCCATTCTGCTGGAGTGTATAGACAGGTTGCTGCAGAAACGCTCCGAGTGTATAGACACCTCAAACTCCAAAGACCAGGGAGTCCACCACGTCGAAGCCCTCTGCGCTTTTCTCCACACCGTCGGGCCCTTCTTCGACAACCCCCAGGTGGGGTTTAGGGTTTAGGGTTTAGGGTTTGGGGGGTGGGGGGTGGGCTTTTCTCCACACCGTCGGGCCCCACTTCGATAACCCCCAGGTGGGGTTTAGGGTTTAGGGTTTAGGGTGTGGGGTTTAGGGTTTAGGGTCTGCGTTACAGTGGCGGTTGTACGGGGAGTTTTGTTATCGAAAAAGCGCGGTGGAAACCCTCTCGACGCGCGTTTGGGGTTTAGGGTTTAGGGTTTAGGGTTTAGGGTTTAGGGTTTGCGCTGCAGTGGCGGTTGTACGGGGAGTTTTGTTCGCGAATGAACGCCGTGGAAACCCTCGCGAAAGACAAAAGTCTCCCTTTTAGGGTTCGGTGTTTAATGACGGATGTTTTGGACTCGAGAAGTGTGGGGTGGCGTCGGCAGGCCCCACACCAGCGCGAGGGCCCCACGACTCTGGGGGAGCTGCATGCGCAGCAGCAGCAGCAGCAGCAGCAGCAGCAGCAGCACCCCTACAACCCCCAGGCCAACCCCGCACAGCCCAGAGACAAACACCACCATGATGAAGGCGGCTGGGAAGTTGCTTCTGGAAAAAGGGGAGCAGCAACCCACGCCAGGACGCCCTCCAGCGCCGTGAGGGTTTAGGGTTTGGGGTTTAGGGTTTGGGATTTAGGGTTTGGGGTTTGGGTTCGGGGGTGGGGGTTAGGGCTTGGCGAGCTGCAGCGCCGGTGGGACCTGGAAGCAGCGCAGCAGCGGATCGGGCGAGGGCTAGTGGGAGCCAAGAGGGAGGGTTTAGGGTTTAGGGTTTGGGGTTTGGGCTGGGCTTGCAGAGCTCCAACGCGCTTTCGGGCCTCGGCGGAGGCGGCCAGTCGGCCTTTAGGTGAGCTACTGCTGCTGCAGTTGCTGCAGTTGCTGCTGCGACTGCTGCTGCAGTTGCTGCAGTTGCTGCTGCGACTGCTGCTGCAGTTGCTGCAGCAGCAGCTGCTGCTGCTGCTGCAGGCCCATGCACCTGTGGCTCTCTCCAGTTCGCGCAACTTCGACCTGTTTTATTACTTAAATAGTGTTATTATTATTTACTACTATTAATTTAATTTAATTAATTAAATTAATTAATTACTTTTTATTTATTTATTTTTGCTGCAGCCAATTGGGCCGCATGCGACAAGAGCGCGAGCGGGACCGCCGCCACCAGTTGGGAGGCCGTTTGCTGCTGACAGAAGAGAAGAAGAAAAAGAAAGAAACTGCGTTAGTTCCACTTGCTGCTGTTGATGTTTTGCTGCTGCTGCTGTTGCTGCTGCTGCTGTTGCTGATGCTGTTGCTGATGCTGCTGGTGCTGCTGTAGTGGCTGCTGTTGCTGCTGCTGCAGCCCGTGCGAAACTGGCTGGGGCTGCAGCAGCAGCAGCAGCTGCTGCTGCTGAGGCTGGTGCTGCTGCTGCTGCTGGGGCTGCTGCTGCTGCTGTCTCTGCCATAAAGCATATCGGGGTCACTTGCGAGCTGGCACTAGGGTTTAGGGTTTAGGGTTTGAGTCCTGTTTTCTTCCTGGAGTCTTAATTGCTGCCGTGTTGCGAATCTGCTGCTGCGCCGCAGCAACGCAGCGATACCCCCTCCCCCCGCCGCAGCGAGCCCGAGCAGCAGCAGCAGCAGCAGCAGCAGTAGCAGCAGCAGCAGCGCGGGCTTGCTGGACGCGGAAGCTGCGAGGGTTTTGGCGAGGCGAGAGTTTGGGGATTTGCTTTGCATGTCAGCAGCAGAAGCTTTGGAGGTTTTCTCAGGCATTGAGGGGGCAACTCAAGAGGCACAGAAGGTGAGGGTTTAGGGTTTAGGGTTTAGGGTTTGGGGGGGGAGAGGGTTTAGGGGCTGCTGGGGCTCCTGGGGGATAGGAGGGCTGCTGAAGAAGCAAAGAAGTGATCTGCAGCGGGGCTTCCAGGCGAGGGTTTAGGGTTTAGGGTTTGGGGGTGTTGCGTCAGGCCCTGCTGCTGGAGCTGCTGCTGCTGGCAGCAAACAAACTGACCTCGGACAAGCCGCAGCAGCAGCAGCAGCGCAAAACGCTTTTTAAGAACATGGTGGCCGTGGCGGCGTCTCCAGCTTTTCCTCCCGAAACCCTAAAACAAGGGTGAGGGTTTAGGGTTTAGGGTTTAGGGTTTCGTGGGGGTGGAGGCAGCGCGTGGGGACTCGCGAATGCCCAGGGCTCCCCTCGCCGCGGCTCCAGCGGCCCCGCAAACCCTAGCAGCGCTAGGGTTTACAACTAGAGCTTAGAACTAGGGTTTAGGGTTTAGGGTTTAGGGTTTGTGGCTGCAGCCTGAGGGAGTTCATGGGGCTTACTGGAGACGGAGAAGGCCTTTATAGAGACTTGCTGCTGGATGCTCCTCACTTGCCGAGTTTTATGCGAGAGTTCATTGACGTTATTGAAGGCAAACCCTAAACCCTAAACCCTAGTTTGGGTTGGGGGTCAACCCTGAACCCTAAACCCTAAACCCTATCTTGGGTGGGGGGTCTTAACCCTAAACTCTAAACCCTAAACCCTAGTTTGGGTGAGGGGCCTTAACCCTAAACCCTAAACCCTGGTTTGGGTGGGGGGTCTTGGTCCCGCTAAACCCTCACGCTGCTGCTGCTGCTGTGCGGAGGCCCATCCTGTTCGTTTTGCTGCTGTTTATTCTTTTTAACTTAATTTAATTATTTAATTTAATTGTTTAATTTATCAATTCATTTATTTATTTTATTTATTTGTTTTGCTGCTGCAGCTTCAGACAAAGACCGCCAGCTGCTGAGTACTGCAGCGCTGGATGACTTGCGAGGGCGTCTATGAAATTAGGGTTTGGCAAACCCTAAACCCTCGTTCTTTTTCTAAGCCTCTTTTTAATAATCAAGCCTAGGGTTTGCGATCCCTAAACCCTCGCGGCCTGCTGCTGCAGCAGCAGCAGGCGCTGCAGCAGCTGCAGCAGCAGCACGCGCTGCAGCTGCTAAGCACGAAACCTTAGGAGTTGCCTGCTGCTGCTGCAGCAGCAGCAGCAGCAGCAGCAGCAGCAATTTCTGCTGCTGTTAAGGAGGCTATTGCCTCTCCAATTATATCTTATCTGAGAACACAAATATTTGAACTCCCACTACCACCGCTGGCTGGCGATGAGGGTTTAGGGTTTAGGGTTTAGGCTTACCGTGTAGAGAAGTTCTTGAATGTGCTCGCGCTAGGGTTTAGGGTTTGCGGCTGTGGGGCCGAATGAGGGTTAGGGTTTCTGGGGGCAGAGTTTTCTCGCTCTAGGTTTTAGGGTTTACGATGTTTAGGGTTTAGGGTTTAGGGTTTGCAAGGTCTAGTCCGAGGGTTTGGGTGTTCCGGGGGGAATGGCCCTCCGCCCGCCAGGACTAGGGTTTAGGGTTTAGGGTTTAGGGTTTAGGACTTGCGTGGATTTCTTTTTTAGTCTTTTGGGGCCTATGGGGCAAATTAGTGTTTGTCTTTGTCTTCTAAGGTCAGCAACTCCTAAACCCTAAACCCTAAACCCTAATGTGTCGTTCCTGTCTTGTTGGAGTTCTGCTGGAGTTTAGGGTTTCGGCGACACCCGCCCGCTGTCTGCGCGCCCCACTGCGCCGACATACCGTAAACCCTAAACCCTAAACCCTAAACCCTACCCCGCATGCCTCCTGTGTGCTGCAGCAATCGAGGAAACGTGCAGAGTGATCAGCTCCCAGCGCGAGCACTGCAAACCCTAAACCCTAAACCTTAAACCCTAAACCCTAAATCCTAAACCCTAAACCCTAAACCCTAAACCCTGTGTGCGCATTCAGGATTTAAAAATAATGAGGGTTTGTCTCTCTCTTTGTCTTGGCGCTGCTGCGCTGCTGCCGGCCTATGGCCTCAAGCTCGTGGAGGACTCCAAAACCCTAAACCCTAAACCCTCGGACGAGGGTTTAGTGTTTGAGGACTCGCAGCAGCAGCTGCAGCAGGAGGCGGCAGATGAGGCGCAAGCAGCCGCCCCAGCAGCAGCAGCAGCAGCAGCAGCAGAGGCGCAGCTCTTTGCAGAGGCAGCAGCAGCAGCAGCAGACGACGACGACGCAGCAGCAGCACAGAGCTTCGCCGACGCAGCAGCAGAAGCAGCAAACCAGGCAGCAACTCTAGCAGCAGCAGCAGCAGCAAATGAGGAAGACGAGCAGCAGCAGCAGCAGCAGCAGGAGCCGATTCACATATTTGCTCCTCGACAGTTCCGCTTCACCGACCCCGCGGGAGGGAAAGCCCTGACGGTTTACTTCCACAACACATTCGGTAAACCCTAAACCCTAAACCCTAAACCCTCGTGTGGAGAGCCAATCCCTTGCGCGGGCGTTTTGGCGCTGAAACTGCGGCAGCAGGCTCTCCCTGCGCCCGCCGCGAGCCCCTAGGGTTTGGAGCTCAGGGTTTAGGGTTTAGGGTCTAGGGTTTAGGGTTTAGGGTTTAGGGTTTAGGGTTTGCGCGCAGAGCCGTTTGACTGGCTGAGCTGCTCGGCGCTGCACTCTTTGCCGAGTGTATGCAGACAGCACCCGCGGTGTACGTACACCTCGGGGGCGGCGGTCTGGGGTGGGAAAGCTGGAGGAAATGAAGACTTTTCTTCATTAGAATTAATTTTAAATAATAAAAATAATTCAATTTCAAATTTAAGTCCAAAAAGAATTCAAAACGGCGGCTGCTTCCTCTCGAATTCATACTTGGCGCTCGCCGCCGACTCCCTCTGCGACCGCGCTCTACATACACCCCAAACCCTAAACCCTATTTTAGCGTATTCCGAACTCAAAGCTGTCGTCATCGACGCAATGCAAGAACTGGGATCCGATCCCCAGCCCTTGCTGGCTGCTCTCGAGGAGGCCGGAGCAGCAAACCCTCAAAGCATCTGCGGACTCGTCAAAGTAGGGTTTAGGGTTTAGGGTTTAGGGTTTAGGAGGCGGCGTCGAGACGCTGAGCTCGAGGAGCCGCTTTTTGGGTTTCACAAGCTCGAGGGGAGGAACCAGCAGCTGCGAGGGTTTAGGGTTTGGGTTTTGCCGAGGGCTTAGGGTTTAGGGTTTGGAATTTAGGGTTTGGATTGTTTCAGGAGCTGGCTACGGAGTTGCTGGCGACGGAGCGAAACTTGAAGCCCCTGCCGGAGGGCGCAGTGGTGGAAACCCTAAACCCTAGCGAGGGTTTGGAAGAGGGTTTGGACGAGGGTTTATCCTCTGATTTCTTCGAGGGTTTAGCAGAGTCTTCTCTAGGGTTTGTTGCAGGAAGGGGTTCCGCAGGCAAGGGTTTGAACGCCCCGCGGCTCGTAAACCCTAAACCCCACTTGCAGATTTACTCCAGCAGCGCCAAGCCCGCAACAGGTGAGCGAGGGTTTAGGGTTTAGGGTTTAGGGTTTCTAGCTAGGGTTTAGGGTTTGCTGATAAGGGTTTAGGGTTTCCTAGGGCTTAGGGTTTAGGGCCGTTTCGTCGATTCTGGACATTCTTCCTGGCTGCTGCAGTGGCCCGGTGCCAGTGTATACTATTTGCTGGGACAGGATTTAGGGTTTAGGGTTTAGGGTTTAGGGTTTAGGGTTTGTGGGCAGGAACAGCTCCGGGAACCGAGCCAAGAATTCGCATAGGCATTAATGGCTTTGGGCGAATTGGGAGATTGGTGTTTAGAATTGCAAGCAAAAGAAAAGACATGGTGAGCGAGGGTTTAGGGTTTAGGGTTTAGGGTTTAGCGCGAGTTAGACCCTAATCAAAGCCAATTTCCTTCAAGATACCACCATTTGAACTGAAAAACATCAATTTAATCAAACTAAATCAAATTAATTTAATTAGTTTTAATTAAATTTAAATTGAATTAAATTATTGGATTTATTTCCAAGCAGTGACGCACATAAACTCTAAGTGTAAAACCAAATATTATTCAAATGTTTTCAAATAAAGTGCCATTTGGACCAAAAACCATCAAATTAAATGAATTAAAATGAATTAAAACAAAATAAAGTGAAATAAATGAATAAAAGAATAAAGTCAATGAATTAAATCGAATTAAATCAACAAAATTGGTTCGTTTCAGGCAGTGACGCACATAAACTCGAGTTTGTCTGCGGAGTACTTGGCCTACTTGATAAAGCACGACTCCGTGCACGGGCGCTTCAAAGGCCAAGTGGAATCAAGAGATGGAAAGTTATTTTTTGAAAATAATGAAATAAAGCTTTCCAAAGAAAGAGACCCTTCGAGCATCAGGTGGACAGACACCGGAGCGGACTTTGTCTGCGAAAGCACGGGCGCCTTCTGCACCTTCGATCTCGCCAGCAAGCACGTCAACAGGTCCGTTTTCGCGCGTTTTTCCCTTTTTTCTCCATTTTTCTTTCTTTTTTCTCCTCTTTTATTCATTTTCTGGCCTTCTTTTGTTGTTTTTTCGTTTTTCTTCTTTGTTTGCTCTTTTTTGGGAGCTTTTCGGCGTTTTTCCGCTATTTTTGGCCCTCAAATGCGTCCAGGGCGTTTTGCTGTCTTTTGGCCTTTTTCTTCTTTTTTTGGTGCAATTTAAATACCTTTTTAGGTGCTTTTATTTCTTTTTTTAATTCAGTTTAAATGTCCTTTTAAAATGCTTTTCTTTCTTTTTTGGTCCAACTTAAATGTCTTTTTAAATACTTTTCATTCCTTTCGTTGATTCAATTTAAGTGCCTTTTTTAATATTTTTCTTTCCCTATTTTGATTCCATTAAATTGCCTTTTCGACTGCTTTTGTTTCTTCTTTTTACTTCAGTTTAGGTGCCTTTTTAAAAGCTCTTTTTCTTTCGTTTAGTCCAATTTAATTGCTTTTTGATGGCTTCTGTTTCTTCTTTTTAATGACTTCTGAGTTACTTTTAAATTACTTTTAAGTGACTTTTTAATGAATTTTTAGTGACTTTTCAGTGACTTTTTAATTACTTCTAGATGATTTTTAAATGTCTCTTAAATGACATTTAAATAACTTTTAAACGAGTTTTAAGTGACTTTTAAATGAGTTTTAAATGACGTTTAAATGTCTTTTGTTTCTTTTTTCAATGCACTGCTGCTGCTATACTTTCCGCGTTCCCCCTGCCGCCGGCTCCCGTGCTGCTCCTCCCCCGCTGCTGCTGCACCTGCTGCTGCTGCACCTGCTGCTGCTGCACCTGCTGCTGCTGCACCTGCTGCTGCTGCACCTGCTGCTGCTGCACCTGCTGCTACTGCACGTGCTGCTGCTGCTGCACGTGCTGCTGCTGCTGCTGCTGCTGCTGGTTTTAGGCCTGAGGGGGCGCGTCACGTGGTGATATCTGCGCCGGCGAAGGACGAAGTGACCCCGACTTTGGTGGTGGGGGTGAACGCGGAAACAGAATATTCTCCGGAGATGAAAGTTGTGTCTTGTGCTTCTTGCACGACAAATGGATTAGCTCCTCTTTTGAAAGTGTTGGACGAGAACTTCGGGATAGAAGAGGGTTTAATGACGACAGTGCATGCAGTCACGAGTTCGCAGAAGACGGTGGACGCGGCGAGCAGCGGCAGCAGCAAGGCCCGCAGCAGCAGCAGCAGCAGCAGCAGCAACGCGTGGCGCAGCAACCGCGCAGCAGGCGGCAACATCATTCCCGCTGCCACGGGAGCAGCAAAAGCTGTCGCCAGGTGCCTCCCGCAGCTCAAGGGGAAGATCACGGGGATGGCAGTTCGAGTGCCAACTCTGGATGTGTCTTTGATTGACTTGACCTGCAGACTGCAGCGCAGCAGCAGCTACAGCGAGCTGCTGCAGGTGGTCAAAGCTGCTGCTGCTGCGGGGCCCCTCAGGGGCCTCCTGGGCTACACGGAGCAGCCCGTGGTGTCCTCGGATATACTGGGCACTGAGTGCAGCACTGTCTTCGACGCAAACGCGGGAATTATGCTAAACCCTAATTTTGTGAAACTCATTTCTTGGTACGACAATGAAGCTTCTTATGCTGCCAGACTCGTCGATTTAATTGCAATTATGGCCGCCAAGGACGGCCTCGTCGAGCCGGGAGTCGGCCTGAATCGCAAGACTTTCGACGAGGAGTGAACCCCAAACCCTAAACCCTAAACCCTAATTTCGGGTTTCCGGTGGGTGGACAAGTGGGGGCTCCTTATCGCCCAGACTCATCGGTTTAATTGCAATCGTGGCCCCCAAATATGCCATTGTTGAGCAGGGAGTCGGGCTGAATCGCAAGACTTTCGATGAGGAGTAAACCCTAAACCCTAATTTAGGGTTTCGGGCGGCTGGACAAGTGCGGGCTTCCTATGTGCCAGACGTGTCGGTTTGATTGCAATTGTGGCTGCCAAAGACGGGATCGTGGAACCGGGAGTTGTTCAAACGCAAAATTTTGGACGAGGAATAAACCCGAAACCCTAAACCCTAATTTAGGGTTTGGGGTGGGTGGCCAAGTCGGGGCTTCATATGGTGCCAGACTTGTCTATGGCAATTAGAGCCACCAAAGACGGGATTGTGGAACCCGGAGTCGGGCCCAACCACAAAGCCTTCGACGAGAAGTGATAAACCCTAAACCCTAATTTAGGGTTTGGGGTCGCGGTTTGGGAACGGGTCGCAGGAGGCAGCTAGGCGCTGCCCTGCAGCAAACCCTAGTTCGGAAGAAATGGAATTAAACAACAAAAGTGTAGAAGTGGGTTTTTTCAAATCTGAATGGTTAGAAGTCCAATTGAATATCAAATAAATAGAATAAAAGGCTTTAGGGACAATTTAAAATGAAAAACAAAAATATGAGAGATATTACTAATGGGCTTTTCGCCGCGGGGTAATAACGCAAAAAGACCTTTTTTGAAGAGACCCTAAAGCCCCTGAAATGAGAACTTTTGTTTGTTATTATTTTCAAAAATATAAATTAAGCTAAAACTACTAAACGCTGAGGTTGTAAATTGTAATTTATTTGATCTTTTCAGCATTTTGCAATTCGCTCGCGGGCCCGCGGGGTGTACGTACACCCGAACGCATGCACCCAAATGCCACTCTTGAATCCACGACGCAAATGTCGAATTAATAATCAATTAAATCAATTAAGTCTTTTAATTCTTCAAAAATGCAAAATAAAATACTTTTTGGAGTTGGAAATCTGCAAAAATGCCAAGAAGTGTCTTTAGTGAAAAGTGGCGAAACCCTAGGTGTACGTACACCTCAAGCTGTACAGCCTGTACAGCCGGGGCGCTTGAAATGAATAAAGTCAGCCGGTGACTCAATAAATAAATAATAGTAAGTAAGTAAATATAATAATTAGTAATTATCTACTATTAATTCCTTCCTTTTCATTTTCTCTTTTGCTGCTCATGCAAAGGAGGAGGAATGCAGCAGCAGCGCAGCCCCACCTGCTGCGAGGCCCGACAGTCTGAAGGCAGCAGCAGCAGGAACTGCTTCGTTGCAGCAGCAGCAGCAGCAGCAGGGTTTGCTTCGTCGCAGCAGTAGCAGGGGTTGTTTTGTTGCAGCAGCAGCATTGGTTGTTTCGTTGCAGCACCGGGGGTTGCTGCGTTGTAGTAGCAGCAGGTTGCAGCAGCAGCAGGTCGTAGCAGCAGCAGCTGCAGGCGATCCTTCGCTGCAGCAGCAGGTGCTGCTTCGGAGCAGCAGCAGCAGCAGCAGCAGCAGGTGCTGCTGCGCTGCAGCAGCAGCAGGGGCTTTGACGGTGCGCTTGTAAGGGGGCGCCCGAGCGACTGAATGAAAGCTACATGCTGAGCAACCTCTTTTTGTTAGGGTTTAGGGTTTAGGGTTTAGGGTTTAGTTTGTGGGTTTAGGGTGTAGTTCTTAGGGTTTAGTTTGTGTTTAAGGTTTAGGGTTTAGTTTTTGTTTTAGTTTTTGTTTAGGGTTTGGGGTTTAGTTTTTGTTTAGGGTTTAGGGTTGTTTTCGTTCAGGATTGACACTTTAGGGTTTACCCTTTGATCAGGGTCTAGAGTTTAGCTTTTGTTTAGGGTTTGGAGTTAAGCTCTATTTGAGGGTTTAGGGTTTGGTTCTTGTTTAGGGTTTAGCGCTTTTGTTTAACGCTAAGGGTCGAGGGTTCGGCTTCTGGTTAGGGTTTAGTTTGCGTTTAAGATTCAGGGTTTAGGGTTTTGTTCTTGTTTAAGGTTTAGGGTTTATTCTGGGTTTAGGGTTTAGGGTTTAGTTTCTCTCCAGGGTTTAGGGTTTAGGGTTTGGTTTTGTCTACGGTTTAGGGTTCAGGGTTTAATTTGAGCATTTAGGAGTGTCGATGGTTTAGGGTTTAGGGTTTAGTTCTTCTCCTGAGGTTTAGAGTTTGCGGTTTAGTTCGACTAGGGTTTAGGGTTTAGGGTTTAGAGGTGTACGAACTGGGCACTGAGGTGTACATACACCTGGATCTGGACTTGCTGCGCCGGTGTATGACGAGGTGTATGTACACCTCAAAAGTATAAATTCATTTGCAGCAGCAAAATCAAAAAACATTTAATTTTAATTCCTTTTTTGTTTTGCTGTAGCGCTGCTGCAGCACTGCTGCAGCAGCAGCTGCTGCTTCTCACGTAGTTGAATTTGAAGTTATGAAAGAGTTTTAATGAATTTCTCCTTTTAAATTAATTTTAATTAATAGAAAATGAAATATAGTGAAGAGTAGCGGCAAAAAACGCGGCAACGCAGCTGCTGCTGCTGCTGCTGCTGCGGCTGCATGCTGCATGCAGCAGCAGCAGTAGCTGCGGCAGAGGCTTCCTTGGGCCTTTTCGGCGTAGTGTACGTACACTTCATCTGGTTAAGTAATTAACTCTTTTATTTTATTTAGTGTTTATCTTTTGGATTCTTTTCCCGGGATTTTGCTGCTGCTGCAGCTTCTGCAGCAGCAACAGCAGCACCAGCAGAGAGGCAACAGCGTCAGCAGCTGCAGCTGCAGCTGCAGCAACCTCAACAGCAGCAGACAACTGGTCAGCAGCAGCAGCAGCAGCAGCAGCACACGGCCATGGAGGCCGCGGGTCCCGCGGATTCTGCTGCTGCAGCAGCAGCTGCTGCTGCAGCAGCAGGCAAGGGAACAGCAGCAGCAGCAGCAGCAGAAGAGCAGCAAAAACGAAGAAAGACCAGATGGGAGCGAGTGAGTTCTGGAGTGTATATACACCTCGAACACCACTTGCTGCCACAAATGGGAGGCACTTCTAGCTTCTTGAGTTGCTGCTGCTGCTGCTGCTGCTGCTGCTAATTCTGCGGCTGCAGCTGATTCTGGTGCTGTTGGTGATTCTGCTGCTGCTGCTCGTTCTGGTGCTGCTGCTGATTCCGCCGGTCGTTTTCCTATTCCGCTGCTGCTGCTAGTAATCCAGCAGCAGCTGCTGATTTTGGTGCTGCTGCTGATTATGCTGCTGCTGCTACTGAATCCTCTTCTGCCGACTCTGCTGCTGCTGCTGCTGCTGCTTGTATGCCATCGCTGCTGCTGTTGTGGTGTACGTACTCTGTTTAGGATGGCACAGCCGACAATGCAGCAGCAGGAGGTGCTGCTGAGGCTCCTGCTGCTGCTGCTGCTGCTGCTGCAGCTCCGGGAGCAGCAGCCCCTGCAGCAGCAGCAGCGGCGCCGGCAGCAGCAGGTGCAGCGGGGGGCCTGAAGCTGCCGTTTAGCATTCAAGCAGCAGCAGCAGCAGCAAGAGAAGCTTTAGAGAAAGCGAAGAAGGCAGCTTCGCTGCAGCGGCAGATTCAGGAGCAGCTGAAGCAGCAGCAAGCAGCAGCAGCAGCAGCAACGGCGGGCGCCGCGTCTGGCCCTTCCCTCGCTGCTGCTGCAGCTGTTGCAGCAGCAACTCCCAGCACCACGAGCCCAGCAGCAGCAGCAGCAGCAGCAGCTGCTGCTGCTGCTCTTGCTGCGCAGCAGGCAAAGGCGAGCACCGGGCAGCTCACGGCGGGGATCGGGGCGACGAATCCGCTGCTGCAGCAGCAGCTGCTGCTGCTGCAGCAGCAGCAGCAGCAGCAGCAGCGGCGGCGGCAGCAGGAAGAAGAAAAAGAAAGAGAACTTTTGAAAAAAACAAAACCCTTGAGATTTGATCGCTTTGGAAGAGAAATCGACAGCGAAGGAAACTTAGTTGCTGCTAGACCCAT